AAATGGTAAAGACAAGATCTATAAGAATATTAGGGCTCGCGAAGCCAAGTGTGAACCCAGACACGGTCAATAGCCGAGACGATCTCAACAACCACAAACAGGCGAGTACGCAGGCGCACAACTAGTTGTCCTAAGCTTATATTTAGACGCGTAGGCATACCTTCGTTAAGCCTATACCTGGCTCTCCACTACGGTATTGGCGACAACGTCTGTATTAAGCCTATAGTGTACCTGGCCCGCCAATGTAATTTTAGCGACCACGTCTGTGTTACATCTCAGACAAAAGTCTTACCTCCTTTTTTTTGATAAACACTGGGGATAAGACTTATCTTCTTGCAGGAAGAGTCACCTCTCTGGTGTGGGTGTGGGTGTGGGTGTGGGTGTGGGTGTGGGTGTGGGTGTGGGTGTGGGTGTGTGTCACACACATGCGTGAGTGAAAGGAAATGCTCTAAATGCAAACTAAACCAAATTTGTCAATCTACAGACTTACTCGAAGACAGCGAAACCATTAACATACTTCTTAATATAAACATGACACGATTATATCTGCAGCACTATCAACTATTTTTTTTTTCGTACATTCTTGAGCAAGGACACTGCACAAACAGCGAAAAGTTTGACAGCTGAGGAAATACATCAATCCCAGAAAGAAAAAGAGAGTTAAATAGGATACACAAATAACTCGCACACATGAAAATTAAACTTATGACGTTTCGGTCCGACTTGAACCATTAACTAGTACTTAGTTAAGAGTCCTAGTAGGACCGAAATTGTCATAAGTTTCATTCTATGTCAGGATTATTTGTGTATTGTTCCAGTCACGGTATTGTGCCATTTTATTCTTTCTAAATAGCATACTGTACACACACCTGTCTCTCAAGAGACACATGCAATAACTTAAAAATATGAATGCTATACTGAAAGTTTACCATGCTGACCACGGTCTTCAGTTGAAATTAGGCTGCAGAGAATAATTGTATGGGCATTTACAGCTTAAAATGTGTACCTTGCTCTATATACAGTATTGCATAAATGCTGTGGTTTATTCCTCAGGAAACAGGAGAGGTGTCTTCTGACACGGGTCTTCGTCAAATGCTGACCCGTGTTAGGCATCCTCTGAATTAAGATCAAAGTTTTAAATAATTATTTTGCAGTAGATAAAAAGGTTTCTAAATACTGGATATCCTTTAAGTGTACTGTAATTCCCATCTCAGGAATTAGTGTTCTTGAGTGGTGATGTACAGGTGACATGCAACCTTAAGAGTCTTCACAAATAACTCTCAGAACTTTTCGAAAGAGGTTTCGCACAGTCCTGGGCCACTACGTGAAAATGGGGAGAAAACCAAAGACAGGTTAGTATCAGTGGTAATATTAGTTGAATTAGCAATGAAAATAGTAGGGTTACTTATTACTTTTACTACCGCTAATGTCAGTACTAGTGACCTGTCTTCTCCATTCTTGGAACTCCCTCTTTCTTGACTTTTCTTTCTCCTCATTCTCAGTTGTACAGTTATGACGATTAAAAGTTTTGCTAAAAATAATAGCACTAATGTTGAAAGAATGTTTTTTTTTCTATTTTGAAATATTATAAACAACCTCTGTAAAGGCCACACCATAAGAACACCAGATGTTTCGATAAATATGTATATATTTAGCGAGTGTGGTGTCAGAACAGTTGGTAGCTGTTCGTTTATACTGTTGTATTAATAGGCTTGGCGGAATATGTTGGCAGAGTGACGCAACACTGACTTGACATACTAAATCCACCCTTCATCTCCGTCACTGTGAGGCTGAGATGCTCACCACCATCTTGTTTTCTCTCAAGGTCGCTACAGAGATTAACAAAACTTCGTGAAATATAACGTTCACTTATGCCACTCAGAAGTGGGTAAATTAAGTTTCAAGCCAATGGAAGAGCTGGAAATAACCTGTAGCTAAAACACTTCCGTAAACACTAGGCTCTAGAGTTCATGATAGAGCAGGAATGACTTTCAATTATATTATTTTCTAATTTTATTATTGTGACCGGGAATCACTAAACTCGCAAGTGTCATTCAGCTCTTGGAGAATCTGAGGTAATCAGGTCTGATCGAAGGTGGTAAATATATGCTAATAACTAATTCAGGTCTTACCTGAATTATGTAAAATATGTAAAAATTAATGTCAGATGCAATGAAACTAAAATACGTACCAGGCTAAAAACATGAAATTAATGGAGATGTTTTCTTATGTCCAATGCTATGCATGACCTTAGGAACCGTAATTGCTTTAGACCCTCATACATGGACTATACTGTATGAAGAGTACAATAACTACTGGCGATATTCGTTGCTTACACGCGCGCGCGCACGCACACACACACACACACACACACACACACACACACACACACACACACACACACACACACACACACACACACACACACACACACACACACACACACACACACACAGTTTACTTTTCACATTTCTTTCTATTTTTATCCCTTTCCTGTAGGAAAGGCGAGCACAAAAAGAGTTTATAGTATATGACGGATGCAATAAGAAAAGGAGCCACAACAGACTGCTGTGGGTGGAGAGCGTAAGGTCTTAACACCCTCAGTAACTTGTAGCCATAATATAGCTCTTCGTCTCGAGTCATCCTGTGAACGCCACCTACACAACGTGAACGCCACCTACGCACCGTGAACGTCACCTACGCACCGTGAACGCCACCTACTCACCCTGAATGCCACCTACGCACCGTGAACGCCACCTACGCACCGTGAACGCCACCTACGTACCGTGAACGCCACCTCGCGTGATTTTACTCATTCGTGCATGTGATCACAAGGTTATAATGGCAGATTAAATCTAACATTAACGACTGTCATTGAGATTATTAAACCCAAAATCCACCCAATTTCTAACTAGCATGTATACCTATATACCTAAAAAGAAAGAGGGATTAAGTAAACTTGTACAAGTACACTTATGTAAACACACACACACACACACACACACACACACACACACACACACACACACACACACACACACACGTGTGTGTGCGTGTGTGAGAGAGAGAGAGAGAGAGAGAGAGAAAAAAAAATACACCTGTGTATATACTTCGGTTCTATTATTATATAGCGCCTGCGTTGTATATACATCACGGATATATTAAAGATATACCTCTTCCAATGTATCTGTTTACTCTGATTTAATTTTGTCAATAATTTTGTTTTTTAGTAAAATTCTACTAGATGTTAGTGAGCAGGTACCCGTCATGTTATTTCTCCAGTCAGTGTTGAGATGACACTTTCCTAGTTGCGATTCTGTAGGTTACAATTTCAGTGTTGTAATATATATCACTGAAGCAATGCACCACTGTAAAGTGCAGAAGTATACCACTGAAAAAGTGTAGCAATGTAGCAGTGTTGCAATGCACTATTGTATCAATGCACCACTGTCACCACATCAGTGCTAGCAACAGATCCTGGCTGTCTCATCCTCTGTTTATTTTTCCTCTGCATCAAGTCACTGACAAGACATATCGTTGGCACTCTCCTCACATCGCCCCCCCCCCACCCTCACACCTCGCCTCACACCTCGCCTCACACCTCGCCTCACACCTCGCCTCACACCTCGCCCACACCTCGCCACACACCTCGCACACTCCTCGCCACACTCCTCGCCACACTCTCCACACCTCAACCACCACACACCTCACCACACACCTCACCACACACCTCACCACACACCTCACCACACACCTCACCACACACCTCACCACCACCAACACTCTCTCACACATCGCCACTGTCCTCTCTCTCTCTCTCTCTCTCACACACCTCGCCACTCCTCTCACCTAGCCACATTCCTCTCTCTCTCTCTCTCTCTCTCTCTCTCTCTCCCCTCACACACCCCTCGCCACACACCCCTCTCTCTCACACCCCTCGCCACACACCCCTCTCTCTCACACCTCGCCACACACCCCTCTCTCTCACACCTCGCCACAGTCCTCTCTCACACCTAGCCTACCCGAACTGACTAATGAGGGTTTAAACCCTATCTACTACATGAGGGTCATTAATGCTGTACAAGATTTGTTCACCAGTGCAAGAATACTTTATTGCATAATATAGTGATTAAAGTTAACAATTAGTGTATGTATTCCAACACACACACCTCTTGGTAAAATATATTAAAGTATATACACAATATATAATATATATATGTCGTGCCGAATATGTAAAACTGGTCAATTAGCAAGAACTCATTTAAAATTAAGTCCTTTCTGAAATTTTCTCTTATACGTTTAAAGATATATTTTTCTCATTATGTTGATGTAAAATTTATAATTTTGCACCAAAAGGAACTTAGAAAACTTACCTAACCTTATTATAACAAAATCAATTTATTTTAGCCTAACCCAACTAAATATATTTTAGATTTGTTTACAGTAATTTAATACTGAACAAACACAGTGAAATATATTTTTTTCGTTACGTTCAGAATGATTTTGGCGAAATTATTGCATACACAAATTTTCACTTGTCCTGTATGGCAAGATGAACGTTGCTATTTAAGCCAAGATGGCAAGTTCTGCCTATTCGGCACGACATTATATATATATATATAATGTATATAATATATATCTTAGAATATGTTTGGTATGGATACTTCCATAGCTTTTATTTACAAAAAACAGGGTACACAATACTTTAAATCCAGTTGCTTTCACTTACAACTTCAAGGATACAATACATGTCTGGCAAACTGTCCTGTGATGTCACTAGACTGCAGCATCAATTTTTTGATCTTCGAACCACTGAAAGGGGTAATTTATATCCAATCTCACAGTGTACGGAGATTTAAAACAAATGCTACAGGTGCCAGGAAAGGCGGCAAGATTGGTACTGAATCAGTGTGAATCACTAATTCCATATACCGATGACAATGTGTACTTAGACGTGAATGATGTCAGTGAATGCAGCGAAGGCACGAATGTGTTCTTACCTTGGGCAAGATCCTGGCCAGAAGCGGGATGCCCTCGGGGATCTCGATGGGCAACATGAGCGGTGACAGGCTACCATTAGTCATACCCAGATGACCCTCCTGCAGCGCCACCTGCCGGCACGCAGCTCAGGTCATGCCAGGGTCAAGAGATTGTGCGTTACCACAAGGACAAATCTTATACTATGGTAATGAAAAAAAAAGTCACAAGGAAGGCGAGTCGTTCGAGAAAAAGAAGAAACTAAATCTCAAGATATAAAATTACACAATTTGGACGAGTCTAATCACTTGACTAGAACTGTCACGTCACATAGCAACACATATGCTGCTATGTACTCAACTATGCAATATTACGGAAAATAGATTAAGATTAGTGTATTTTAGAATAAATCATTGAGTGATATGCAAAGGGCATAACATCACGTCATAATATGTATGAGGTGTACATGATAGTGTACATAACTCATACCTAAAAGATAATGAGGTTTTAAATCCAGGATAATTAATATAACTGAAAAGATCTTAATTGCAAGTAAATGTAGCGCTTTTTACAAAAATTCTGGCATTATTTAAGAATGCTTACTACCATATCAATCTGAAAATGTTATGTAGAGCAGTACTAGCAAAATCGCAATTCCAGTCCCATAAATAATGCAAGTATATCTAATTCTACTATTCCCCTGTCATACCTGTTGGAATTGCGGTTGTGGCTGCGGTTGCGGTTGCGGCTGAGGCTGCTGTGGCTGTACTGGTGCCTGCTCTGTGAACTTGACATCCGGGACTGTGATTGGCACCACATCCTCGTACTGTTCATTAACGAATGGAAAAAGAATATTATCAGTACACCAGTAAATATTTGTTGCTAATTATTGCCGCCTAACTGTCAGGGTCAGTGCGCTCCCCCAATGCTGGTTGTGACCACAGTAGTACAAGGACTTACAATTAACCATCAGAGTCACTGGATATTACAGAATGGAGTAATTTCGTAGAAAACCTCACCTACTTGATGCATAAAGTACATATATTCAGGATTTTAGATAATTAAGTATAAAGTAATTTGTCATTTTCTGTAGTGTCAGTACTGAGTGCGTGTTAGTAAGTAGTAGTCCTGAGTTGTTAATTTGTGTACCTGCGAAAATCACCTGACGAGAGTCAGTCATAAGATGATTGTCTCAGTGGCTCATTAAGAACAAGTTTCCTCGACTCAAGGACACAATATGAGCACATTGTCCTCTTCGCTTCCGGGCGAGTGGACGTGCTGCGCAGGCGCTCCCGATTCAGTTGATTTTCTACGCAGTTTGCCTGTTTTGAGCAATCAAAATGGCGGACAGACATGGACGCAGGGTGAATACTGTCTGTGTGGAGCTGGTACGTGGTGCCCTGAGTAGCTCTACAATGCAGGTACTTCTGCCAAGTATCATCCGCGATGTGTACGGCATACCAAACGACGAGTTGTATGGTGTAGCAGTGAATGGAGTGTCCAGGATATTCATCAAGTTCAAGAGTGCTGGGTTTTACGCCAGCATAGTCGACGTGTTTCAAGAAAAGAGGATGACCGTTAATTCTGCAGTGGAGGTCTGCCTACATGACGTATCAAGCTATGTAACGTGGGTAAAGGTGAGAAATGTCCCCTTTGAGGCCTTGGAATATGATGTTGTGGAGGTATTCCGTAGGTATGGCAAGATCCATTCGGCAGAGTTGGGAGTGTGGAAGGATGGGCCTTATATGGGGCTGCCAGAGGGGTCTTTCACATTGAAGATGACATTGAGACAACCTATACCATCGTATGTTCTGATGGAAGAGTTCAGAACACAGGTTTATGTATATTATGCAGGACAGCGTCGGACATGTAGGCTGTGCGGGTCTTATGACCATATGGCGGCCCAATGTCATCAAAAGGCAGGGACGGAGGGAACAGGTGCCAACAACTGTGGAACGACAGCTGCTCTCCTTGGCACCTGGGACAGGTGAAGCTGCAAGACAGGCGTCTGGAAGTTGGAGTGAAGAAGTAGACAGAGCAGAGTCGGAGTTGGGAGCGTGCGCCACGTTACCTGTGGGAACTGTATCTGAGCGACCATCTACGGATGCGACTGTTGACAGAAGTGACTTACAACAGGAGGGTCTGTTGGACGAGGTCTTGAAAGACTTCTTGGGGAAGGTGGAAGACAGTCAGGAAGGGGAGAAGGACGGGAGGGTATTGGAGGGGGTAGCAGCTGCACAGGAGTGTGAGAACACCTTGTGCAACGAGAGTAAGCAGCACACGGTGGTGGTTGAGGTGCACCAGGAGGACATGGATGCCGAGGCAACGTGTGGAGGTGGCACACGTAAGCGAGCAGCTGGGACGTCTGATATGGAAGATGTCTTAACGCCAGGGCAGAGATCTGGAAAGAAACCTTGGAAGACCGGGCTAGAGCTACAGGGGAATGGTGGCACAGGTTCTGTGGTGCTGCAAGGGTCGAAGGAAAAGGGGAGGATCGGAGGTCTGGATAGACCAAGTGACAAACGTGGCTATAGTCAACAACCACGTCTTTCGAGCAACCTTCAAAAGCAGCGGGGAAAGCCGCCTTTATTGTAATAATTCAAGGTGGTCACCATTAATGTTAACGGCCTTAGAGCTGAGATTAAGAGAGTGTGGATGGAATGGTTTTTAAGGAGATTTGATGTGGATATACAGGAGCATAATTACAAGTTTGGATGCGAGTTGTGCTTGAAGGGATATAAGTTATATGTGAGTGGATCGGTGAGGTTAAAAGGGGGGGGGGGGTTGCTGTGGCTGTGAAGGAAACCAGTCCCTTGCGTGTGTTGGGGTGGGAGGAGGGTGGGGGGGGGAAGGGTGGTGCGGTAGAGGGAGAGTGGGGTGAGACAAGGGTTTGTTTTATGGAGTATACATGCCGGCGGATGGAAATGCAGCAGTTAAGGTAACTTTCGTGAGGGATGTTTTGCTTTTTTATTTGAGAGGATTGCCTTTAGTTACTGTGATAGGAGAAGATTGGAATTGTCATACGACAGGGTGATGTGGAACCTGAGGGAGGCGGGGTGTGTGTTGGGTTTTTACGCAATGTTTGGGGGATGTGGGAGTTTTAGATGTAGTGGGGAGGGGTGGTTGGAGGATTGAGTATACATTTGTACGAAGGGGTTATGCTGTACGACTGGATAGGCTCTATGCTACAGAGGCAATACGAGTTCTGGGAGTTAGGACCCTGGATGTGGGGTTTTCGGACCACAGGGCGGTTATTGCGGATCTTGATTGGGAGGGTATGGTTAGGATACACACTGGTTATTGGAAATTAAATGCGAGACTTGTGAAGGGGGAGGGGGTGAGTGAGGCTTTTGGGGATTGGTGGCACTCTTTTTGGGGATCAAGGGATGTGGGGTTGTGTGTCTTGGAATGGTGGGAGAAGCGAGCTAAGCCAGGTATTGCTGGATTCTTTAAAAATAGGGGACGGGAAGAGGCCAGGTGGAGGTATGGGTTACAGAATTATTTGGAATGTCAGCTGAACGAGTGTTATGAGGAGGAAGTGGGGAAGCAGTATGGGACTGCGGAGCAACTTAGAGGTAGACTGGCGGAGATACACAATGACAAATTTGATGCCGTGCATGTGAGGGCAGTATTGGAGGCTGTATTGTGGGGGGATAAACCTTCGGGAAGTGTTTTAAGACGTTTTAGGGTAAGGCAGAAGGAGTCAACTATTTTGCAATTAGAGGTGAGCGAGGATATGGGTGGATATCATAAGGGACAGGTGCTTACTACTACATAAGGCATGAGTAATTATACTGGTTTCGAGAGAAATGGAGAAAGGGGGGGGGAGGGCGATGCTTTTGAGGAAGTGTTGGAGGGGGGGTGTGGGTTAGGGCAGAAAGAAGTGGAGGGATGGAGATGGGAGGAGCGATTAGTGTGGGGGAAGTTGAGGAGGCAGTGTTTAGCATGAGTACTGGAAAAGCACCAGGCATCGATGGGATTTCAAATGATTTTTACAGAGTTCATTGGGAGCATATTAAGGCTTGTCTGGTGGAGGTCATGAATTGTATGCTGCGGGAGGGCAAGCTAAGTCAGACACAAAGTATTGGAGTGGTGGTGTTGGTTCGGAAAAAGCAAGTGGGGAGTGTTTTAAGTGCGTATAGAGCTATCTCACTAATGTGTTCTGACTACAAGATTTTTGCAAAGATATTAGGTAATAGGATGAAGAAGGTAATTGGTGGAGTTGTACATAGGGGTCAGATGGGTATACCGGGACGAAGTATGAGAGTTGGGCATGGGCGCATAAGGGACTTTTTGGAGGGTTGAGAGGGGAGAGGACTTTTGGGTATTGATTGGGAGAATGCATATGACTGTGTGAATAGAAAATTTTTGAGGGCTTGTTTGTTGCGTCTGGGGTTTGGATTGGGAGTGGCGAGGTGGGTTGATACGCTATATTCAGCGGCTATGGTACGGGTCCAAGTTAATGGCAAATTGGGAAGGCTGGTTAAAATGGAGAGGGGATTACGGCAGGGGTGCCCTCTTTCACAAATTCTGTTTGCGTGCATGCAACATCCGTTCTATGGGCTCGTTGAGGGGGTGGGAGCATTAAATGGGGAGAGGGAAGGGCGCTCAGGCATTGCGGGGTATGTGGATGATACCACTATCCTGATAGAAGGGGTGGAGGGATTGCATGCTGTGGGGAGGGTGTTGGGGATTTTTGGTGAGGTGTCGGGCATGAGAGTAAATAGGGCGAAATCGAGTTTACTGGAGGTGGGTGCTTGGGTGGGGGGGGGGCTTGGGGTTGGAGTTTGGGTGGGCATGGTGGATAATTTTTAAGCTTTGTGGAGTTTTATACATGGCGAATGCGCAGGAGGTTAGGCAGGTAAATTCAGAGAGGGTAGTGGAGAAAGTAGTGAGTAGATTAAGGGGTTTACGGGCGGGAGATGTCACATTACAGCAGAAGGCGGTAATAGTTAATTCGCTGGTTTACAGTAAGGTTTGGGGTATAGCGGAAGTGTATCCTTTGAGAACACAGGACGTACAAGAAATACAGAGACGAGCTATACGTTATGTTTGGGGTTTTGGGAGGGCATGGCTGAGCAAGGAAGTGGTGATGTCGAATGTGCAGAGGGGGAGTGGGTCTTTTAGCACTGGGGCCGAGGGTGAAAGCAATATATGTAAAACAGTCATTCGTTAGGGCTGGAGGGGAAAGAGGGGTAAGAGTGGGAAGGTGATTGGGGGATGTGCGGAGATGGTGGGGAGGTAAAGAGTTAATTGAATGTGAGGATATGCTGAGGGTTTTGTTATTGGTTAAAGATGTTGAGCGACTTAAAGTGGGGCGTTTGGTATCATTGAGTGGGAAGAAGGAAATCCTGCAGGGCGTATTGGTCTATCCATTGTATGATTGGGGAACGATATGGGAAGACTTCAGGAGGCTCAGGTTAATGCCTAGGGTACGTGAGTTGGTATACAGATTCATGATGGGGATCCTAGCTTCAAAAGCAGTTTTGAGTTTAATGGGTTTGGTGAGGGAACCGTCCTGCAGTCAGTGTGGTGAGCTGGAAACGGCATTTCATGCGGTTTATTTTTGTGAAGAATTGAGGGAGGTACGGATATGGTTGGCGAGGGTTTTTAGTCTGTTGGGTGGGGGTAATGTAGAGACCCTGCGAGCTTTAACAGAGGTAAAAGGGGTATCACGGGAGGTAAAAAGGGCGATTATGTATGTGGTAGTGGATTTTCTGTATATTTCCTGGGGAATGAGAGATGCTGGGGGTAGGATTCGAATCAAGGCAATTGCAGCGCGTATATACAGGACTGCTGGTAGGAACAAACTTATTTATGGGAGTCAGTGGGGAGCTTGTTTTCCAGAGAACTACAGAGAGATTACAGTCAGTCGTCTCCTGCAATTGGTACAGTGATAACCATGTAGGGGACTGGTTTTCTTTGGTAGTCGGGTTTTCAGTGGTGGTGGCGTGTATGGGAATGGTTTTAGCGAAGAATGACAAGGGTGGATGGTATGTAGTGTAACTGATTATGGTTGGGTGATAACTAGTCTGATTCCGGTTGCTGTTGTAGGAATGGAACAAAGTAAAACTGTGTGCACGTGTGAATTGCTTTGGGTATGGAGGTGAATGTAGTGTGTGTGTTAAAAGTAATGTTCTATGTGATAGGAAAGCTCCAGGTGTGTGGCGTTATGTGGAAATCAAGATATGTCAGGTAAAATGGTGTTTAGGGTTAATTTAACTTTCTGGCTTAGATCATAATATATCAGATGAACGATTTCGTGGTTCTTAAACTTTCATGTACAGTAATTTATTTTTTTTTTTTTTAGGAAAAATAATAATGTAACTACTTTTGGAGTGGTGAGACACTCCTGTGTCAAATTAGTAATGTATCATCTGATGGATGATGGTAAAAGTTTGTATATGTGCCACAAACAATTACGAATAACAAGTGTTGTGTTGTTTCTGTGTACACAGTTTTATAGATAATATTTAAATATGTATTCTCTTAGCTTGTTTTTTAACTTTTGTGTTATGGTTCAACGTTTAATTGGTGCAGGGATGGCACAAGATCACCTGGGTGTTCAAGTGTGAATGGCTCTGGGTATGGAGGTGCATGTGTGTAAATGTAGTGTGTGGTGTATGAATGCAATTTTCTCAACGATAAGAAGGTTCCCTGTGTTTGGAGTTATTATGAGGAAAACATGATACAATGTACAGTAAACTGGTGACTAGGGTTAATTTATCTTTATGGCTGAGTTCATAATATATCAGATAAACAAGTTAGTGGTTATTAAACAGCTCTCATGTATAGTAAATTTTTTTGTTTTTTTTTTAGGAAAATATAATAATGTACATTCTTTTTGGGGTGGTGATACACTCCATTGTCAAAATAGTAATGTAACATTTGATGAAATCTAGTAAAAGTTTGTATATATCCCAATCTGTTAGTGATATTAGTTTTTTTGCTTCGGGGTGAAGGGGTAAGATTAGTAAAAAAATTTCTGCCAGGATCAGATCTATCAAAATTAACGGTAATCGTGACAAGTGTATGGAAATATAAAATTAACAGCGTGTTACAGAATCAGTTATGGCATTTGTAAGGATTCTGTATGAAGGATTAATAATACATAAATAACAAAGTAGAAAAAATAATGCAGATTGTAGGTTTGGGTCTTCTTTGGTTATAATAATAATAATGATGAATATTGTTATGTTATCTCGTGTAATCTTACTTAACATAGTTACATGGGATATAATGTATAGGGGATGAGGGACAGTTGTGACAACACAACGTTAATCGTCTGTGTGCATTTAGACAATGAGATTTATAATTTTGTGTAAGAACTGATACTGTGTTCTTTTATCTATTTAATGTATTGTGTTGTTTTAAATAAAATATAAAAAAAAAAAATATGAGCACTTGGCTCTTCACCATTGGTGTACAGCAGCTAAGATAAATATCTTCTCAAGTATACAACAACCCCATTTTTTGGAGTAAATTCATTCTTGTTATTAAAAAATTGTGTGGGGGTGTTTATGCCGTTAGGATGGGTATCAATGTCCTTATCTGATCCAAGGAAAACAGAGGTAGAAGTTGTGGCAAGCTCCTGGTGCAGTGACTGAGTAGCAGGCAACTCCGTAGAAGCCGTATCATCCAGCTGTCTTATTGGCAGTGCAAGTGAACAGTGACGTAATAGGGGTTTAAAAAACCACTTGCAGCAAAAGGAACTTATCAAGTAGGTGAAATGTCGTAATAATAAAAGTGTCTCTTTACTCTTTACCATAACATGACAAGGTGAAAGGAGGAAATAAAAACACTGGTAGCAGAAAACCCTTTCTTACGATTTGTCATGCATGGCTGTGTAGCGGTAGCAGCAATGTTGGCACTCTCTTGCCGCATTCTCATTTTACTTTTCTTAGGGTTGGCAAGGAGCAGCAGCTGATTAGCTATGCGCTGATAACTGTTAAGGTCTTTGTTGGCAACTAGTGGGGGGATGGGGAGGGTTGTCGCTGTGAAGCAGTTTCATACTAAAGGTCTGATCATGATACGTGGTTGAAGGTCTCTTGTGTTTGTCCCTACAGTGTTTTGGGCCATTTGTTTAGACCATATGTCGACTGGAATGACAAGTACATACTCGTCCTTAGTGGCTAATTTGCCAACTTCATCTGCAACCTCATTTTCTTGATACCAACATGGTATCAAGTAACAGCTAAGGATTGGTTTGCTTTCCTGTACTCAAGATGGGAGTTTTTCCGACTTTTCAACAAATCGCAATTTACCTACCAAATCTGATGAGCAGCATCATAGAACCAGTGTCTTAATTGTAATTAGTATTATTTCAGGCCTTAAACGCAGATTTGAGTCACCAACTAATTTGTACCCTTTTCAAGTTTCTCTGGAAGCTAGCAGTAAGAAGATTTATTTACAGCTGCATAACATTTTCAGAGACAATAAAGCAATGAAATCTCAAGGTCTCAGTGAAGAGGTCACCTTCCTCAAGCGATATTATAATAATGAACGTTTTCACCTAATATCACAATTATATTGAGTATTTTTGTCAGTGTACCCGTAACTGCATATGTGACTTCAGGTGAACGCACCTTAATTACGTTGAAGCTGGTAAAGAATTATCACAAGTCTACTATGGGAAATCTCGCCAAGATTAACATCGTGTAGTGTGCTTCCTTAGAGAAGGCAAGGAAAGACGTAATAAAATAAAAAAGTATTCAGGTATCTAAATTTATATTTATTACCTTATTTTGCTTTCATTTTTTACACAGTTAAGAGAAGCTCTCAAGAATCAAAATGGCCCGAGCCTCACTGGACCCCTTGAGACAGCCTTTTTATTAATACTTGTGTAAGGTTTAAATAAGCCAATAGATTGCTCGTGGGTCATTAAGATTGTAATTTATGTGTACACTAACTCAATATAATGCAATAGCTAAGAGTGTTTAAATAAACTAGCAATGTATATACACTGAGAAACATTTCCTAGCATACGTATCCTGTGAAAGATTGTAAATACTACGTATAAATTCACGGTTGAAGTTATGTAATACTTAATATAGATAAATATTACATAACCTTTCATAACAGTGAATTACAGAAAAACTGTTTCCTTACCGTGATGGAAGTTTTCTGGATCTTGTAAGAGCCCTTAGGTCTCCAAGTGTGATGAAGAACGCCGTCCTGAGCGTAGTAAAACTTACATTAGTTCACCTTAAAAATCATAGGGTGAAAATTTATTATCAGATGAAGTTTATTTTTATATTGTGTGTGTGGGTGTTTAAGCAAAGAATTTTGTAAATATGGAATTTTGTGTTTATATACGCACATGTGTATTTTAAGGTATTTATTTCATGCAAGATTTAATATGAAAAATATTCCAAAGAAACGCGTGATAAATTTGAATTCAATTAAGACTGTAAATGAGAAAGGCCGAAATTTACTTTCATTTATAATCTTAAATTATATTGCAATTCTTAATATATCGTATCTCTAGAATAAAAAAACTGATAAACACACTTCTCCGGGTAAAGAATTAGTAGCCTAGTGTTATCCAAGAAGCCAGTAACTCCATTCCCATTAGGGTCCTGCCCCAGGATGTCACCAACAGTTGGCCAATACACAGGTCATATTCCGTGCTAGATTATTTTATGAGAAAGAACTAAACTCAGAGATAGAGCGTCTGAGGAATGAGAGGAAATCAGAAACAAGCCAAGAAGGGAAGTTCAAATTCCTTGGATTAAGAGCCCTTCAGCAGCATCAAGGTACACTCATCTGGAAGAGTATCATGGAATTAACTGAAAATGAAGCCTTCCTAAGCTCATTCTAGTAAAGAGGTTTCAAACTTTGTATTACTTAAGACATAATATCAGCAGTACCCTCATAATGTCCACTACCTGTCTTACACTAAGACAATCACATCCTTCAACTAGTATACATAACATTCTGAGCAGGAACGTTAAATATAGCAACAGAGCACTTCTACGACCATCACTTTAGACTGCGGAAATTACGAAGTCCGAAAGGAAATGTATGTCGTGCCGAATAGGTAAAATTGGTCAATTAGCAAGAACTCATTTAAAATAGGTCCTCTAAAAATTTTCTTTTATACGTTTAAAGATATTTCTTTAATTTATGCTAATGTAAAAATAAATTATTTTGTACCAAAAGAACCTTAGAAAACTTACCTAACCGTATAACACGCTCAATTTAATTAGGCTAATCCTACTAAATATATTTTAGATAATTTACAATAATTTAATTATAAACAAACAATAAGATATATTTTTTTCGTTAGGTTCAGATGATTTTTGCGAAATTATTGCATACACAATGTTTAGCTTGCCTTATTCGGCAAGAAGAGCGTTGCTATATAAACCAAAATCACAAGTTTTACTTATTCGGCACCACGTATATAATTTTTTTTATTTACTTGTTACACTCCATTATGAGAACTGGAAACTTTACTTTCTGTGCCCATTCTTGAAAACTTAAGGAACGAAGGCACAAGGAACACTGCAGTCGGTAGGTAGGTAGGTAGGTAGGTAGGTAGTGATATAGGATCCGACATCGTCAAGGTAATAACCCAAGAAAAAACCAACTGCTTTCGAGTCCATGTAACTCCTACACAAAATATCAACAATGGGACTTGACCCACTTGCCTAACTTCTTGGAGAATGACTGATCCAGCTAGAATATTTTTGCATTCATTGTTGTGTGCTAAATCCTTACGTAAGGTGTCATACAACGCATGTGGGAATGGAAGCCTTTCATTATTAAAATAAAAAAGAAGCGCTAAATCACAAGGGCTATACAGCTGGAAGCCTTTCAAAAGGTTCGGTCCAAGGAAGGAAAGTAAAAGTCCAATCAGATAAACAGCCCCCTCATTGAGAGGATTAGCCAACTGTAGCTAGTTTCCGTACACCGCAGTTGTCCTAGCCTATCAGTAAAAAAAATAGGGACCTGTGTGATAGCCGACCGTTGTTTGTCACATCCAGGGGAGGGGGGGGTGAAAAGTGTTAGATAAGTCAAGTCCTTTTGGAAAGTCATTCTGTGAAAACGAAACAAAAAAGGTCATATAGGGAACACCTTCAACACAAACTGCTTTGGAAGGTGTCAGTTAGACATTTTGGTTTACAACACACTGCATTTACATTGTGCTCTATGTATTTTCTTGTAATATGTATATATAAACAACCACTGTGAAAGAACAGTGAAATTCCAAGAGCTTTCGTGACTACTCACATTATCAAGGAACAATGATTGTTCCTTGATAATGTGAGTAGTCACGAAAGCGCTTAGAATTTCACTATTCTTTCACAGTGGTTGTTTTGTGTGTGTGTGTGTGTGTGTGTGTGTGTGTGTGTGTGTGTGTGTGTGTGTGTGTGTCTACTAGTTATAATGGTTGGTGTATGGTGCTCAAAGCCTATCAACTACATGAGGGTCATTAAAAATACAAGTGATGTGTTCACAACTAAAACAAGAATACTTTTATTCTCAAAATAGGGATTAAAGTAAGCTCAGTGTATACATACACACCAAGACATACACCTCTCAGGGTATATATCCTGGAAAAATTATGTAATAAATATAATGTGTGTGTGTTATAACCAATACATATCAAATATAAAGTATGTACATATAATTTTACTAGCTAACTAAAAATGTTAGACCTACTATTATATATTAATGCACTAGTTACTTTATTAATCATATTTATCATTACCTATAATTCAATAAATTATTTATGACTAAATATATTTACAACTACGTATACATGTTTTACGTTAATTTTGCACAGTTATTAGCATGACAAATGGTGCATTTTTTTTAAGGTCACGAAACTGGAATGACATGAGGAGTGTTCTGTAACTTGTTATTTGGTTGGCGTATTAGAGTTCAAGCGACTGTTTTAAGGCCTTACAATAGGTTGCATACGGCTGTGCACCCCTGTTTAAGAATAAGTTAATCCCTACAGTGGGGAGTAACGTAAACTTTCAGTGTATATACACCGAGAAAAATACACTTCTCGGTGATGCAGTAAATAAAAGGAGTAAAGCAATGGAAGGGGATTCCACACAACTGTTTTCTTTCTGTGGATAACTGGACTGTATCAACTTACCCAACAACAACTTGGGCCCACGTCTGACATTATCCATTTATATACAATAAATTTAAAAGTATTTCAGAACTTGAGTTTGCCCTTCCAGTGGCTTAACTAGGATGATTTAAGGAACTTTGAGAGGATTATCCACAGAGTTACAGGCAGCAAGGTAAGAGTGAGAAGTTGGCAACAGTTACAGACAAACGAAACGCTTCACTGCTGTTCGACACTGTTTCGTTATTCTCGAAGTCGGATCACCTGAAGATTCGACCTCATTTTTGTTTTAATCGCAATAGTACACTAAAACTAACCTAGCAACCTAACCAAGCCTTGCTAAAGTATTGTGCAAATTAGCTTAATTTATCAGAACTATCTATGAATTCGTATAACTTTATTTAAGAGTTTAGTTTGGGGTGGAGGATGAAGGACGAACTTTCAGGTGAAGCTTCCGAGGCTTCGCGCTCCAACTAGATCAGTGAAAACTTAGTAATATTAAATTTTACTACAGAATCCAGAGTGTCGAGCGCCACAGTGAAACAAATCATGTACATGGATGAGTGGAATGAACATATTACTCAGACAATAGTGAGACAAACAAAGGAACGTTCCAATATATACTTTACAACACTTATTTTGAACTGTGGTCGAACGACAGCTGATACACTTATTCTCTAACATCACAAATGTCAGAATGATGAATAAACTAAGTAGATTCAATAAACTTTGTAAACCTGAATGAGGGACGTAACGACAACTTGAGTGTGCACACACGTCATGATCATAACCTCAGTGACAGGTTATTTCCGAAAAAAAACTTAGACCATACTGTGATTAGTGCACAGTAATCAAACTATTTCATTCAGATTCACAGTGTTACAATAATCAAAATATATTATAATATATATATATATATATATATATATATATATATATATATATATATATATAATATACATCAGAATGCATAATAAACAGTCGAGAGCTCATGCTATAGACGTAATGACATGGACTGTCAAGGAAGAGGCTTTGATGATATCTTAGTAATGACTTAGGGTGGTAAAACTGTGACAACAATAATACAGCAAAGCACATTCCTTTCTGACAGTATGGGAAAGCCAGCAAGTGTCTTGCTGCTAGGGATTAATATGGTACATGATATATATATAATATATATCGTTTATCTCATTCCTGTTTAATGTTTTTGTACTGTAAGAAGAGCATGTTTATATATGGCATTTAAGACATTACCACCACTAGTATAGGTATTTATAAGAATTAGTTAACTTTCTTGATTAAAGTTTCTAGTTGATGTTTGTTTATTTCGAGGAGAGTCGGTGGAGGCAGAGTGTCTTACTTCGCGCTACCATAGGTAGGTATGGTGGAGGAGGAGGGCCGCAGAGGAAGGAGGGAATTTATATAATACCGTAGATGTTTCAAAAACAGCAACATTATGAAGTGTTGGAATATATATGATGCACAGGAAAGAAATTTGGGCAATATTACATAAATTATTCGTATATTGTTGTAGTAAAGTATCAATAAATAGGCATATATAGAGAGAAAGAGATCTGTTAGAAGAAATGTTGAGATAAATTACCCTATAATAATCAGGAATCCTGATGACAGAAGAATATATAAAGGGATATAACAACACGCGAAAAATAAAACTACGCCTTGCAAGACTTGAAGGATGCTGACTTGAGTATAGCCTTATAAGTATTTGGAGGGTGAGGGAGGGATGGAACAACAGTCACTGATCACTCTGACCTCAAACATGGGGCAGGCAAGGGTGTGGTGGTGGATCATAACAGCTTCAAATACCTCATCGTAATACTCGATCTCCTCCCCCTCCTCCTCCTCCTCCCCCTCCTCTGTCTCGAATGGTTGGTCTCCCTTGCCAGTCAACACAGGTGCCTCCTCCGGCTCCTCAGCTCTGACATCCATCACATCTACTTCACCTTTACCCTTCTCCTCCTCCACTTGCACCACCAAGGCCAGTACCTCATCCTCCTGCTGCTCGGGGAGTACCACTTGTTCTATTTCGGTGATGATCTCCTGCAACTGATTCCTGATGTTTTCTTGACTGATTTCTTCCACTGCTGGTGCTTGGAGCTTGACGCTGGGGGCTAGGGTCGGCTCGGCAAGAGTTTCCCCGACGGGTTCTGGCTCTGCTTCTGGTAAGGGTTCAGGGACAGGTTCAAATTCTCTGGCGGGTTCGGGTATAGCTTCAGCAATAGGTTCAGGCTCTCTGGCGGGTTCGGGTATGGCTTCGGTAACAGGTTCAAGTTCTCTGGCGGGTTCGGGTATGGCTTCAGCAACAGGTTCAGGTTCTCTGGCGGGTTCAGGTATGGCTTCGGCAACAGGTTCAGGTTCTCTGGCGGGTTCGGGTATGGCTTCGGCAACAGGTTCAGGTTCTCTGGCGGGTTCGCGTATGGCTTCAGCAACAGCTTCAGGTTCTTGGCGGGTTCGGGTATGGCTTCACAACAGCTTCAGGTTCTTTGGCGGGTTCGGGTATGGCTTCAGCAACAGGCTCAGGTTCTCTGGCAGGTTCGGGTAAGGTTTCAGCGACAGGTTCAGGTTCATTGGCGGGTTCGGGTAAGGTTTCAACAACAGGTTCGGCTTTGACGGGTTCTAATTTCGCAACATCTTGCTTCTTTATCAAGTTTTGGTTCCTGAATAGGTTCTGGTTCTGCAATGGGTTCTGGTTCTATAATAGGTTCTGGCTCCTTAACAGGGTCTGTGACGGATTCTGGTTCTGCAACGTGTTCCTGTTCCTTCACAGGTTCTAGTTCGACAACAGGCAATGCTTCTCTAACAGGCTCTATTACCGCTTCTGTTTGACGCTGTGCTCTGGCTTCCTGTTCTTGGATCGAGTTAGCGTTCTCGTCCACTGACTGAGGTTCTGGCTGGGTCACTGCCGGAACGTCAGCTGGCATTTCCGTTACGGACTGTTGTGATAGGTTGGCGCCCGCGATGGACTGCAATTGACTGATACCTTCGAGTGATTGAGATTGGAAGCCCTCGATGATCGATGACTGGCTGACGCTCTGTAAGGACTGTGATTGGCTGATGCTCTGTATGGACTGTGATTGACTAACGCTCTGGATGGACTGTGACTGATTGACACTACTGATGGACTGTGACTGGCTGACACTCTGTGATTGGCTGAGGGCCTGGTTGGTTTGTAAATGACTGAAGGCCTGGGTTGCTTGCGATTGGCTGATGTTCTGGATGGCCTGCGATTGGCTGACGCCCTCAGTCTTGCTTCCCAGGATGGCTGACTCCACGCGTACAGCAGACTGGTGTGAAGCCTCCAGGTGAGACGTCGTCTCGAAGCTCCTTACCGTGTGCTATCAACCAGGAGATAGAGTCGTTACTTTCTGTTCACAACCTGGTTAGCGCTAACTATAGGGATAACAACAATGAAGGGAGAAGTTAGTGCTGTTGCCAAACTCAGTCATTTGGTAACCATCCTCCCTGGCATGTAGCAACGAGAGACTGGTCGTCACATGCAAGGAGCGGATTGGTTAGAGCGTTTGTCAATATCAAAACGGCAAATGAATGGGTTATCTTTGGCAGGACTAGGGTGTTAACTGTGGGTATTCCGTCACACCTGAAAATACTAAAATAAAAAAAAATGGTCCATTATGCTACGGTTCTTTCTGTATACAAATATCTATGGAGAGTCTACTCTGAAAAAAGCTACGTACCTAAAATTGGTCTTTTCTGAAACAAAATGTTAATACATCTACTAGGAAGAGGAACTTCTTAGTAAAATTAACAAAGGTTACCCATTATAAAATACTTTAAGTTTAGTTTAATTTAGATTGAAAGTGTCATCCTCTAGATTCCTCTTCCGTAGGTTCTGGATGGCGTCTCTCCCAGCGTGCAATTCCAGATATTAATAATAAAAACATTATTACATACAAAAAACAGCAAAAAAACAATAAGTTAAAGTACCACATGCAATCAAAATATGAGTGGCCATATATCCGAAGTTTATAACTTGGATTAATAAAATATATCAACGTGAATATTATATTTTTATTGTAAATTAAAAAAAATAAGAACGACTTATCCTTTAGTAAAAATTACATAACCTAGCTAATATTAGCACAACTTTATTTAGTATTATATATGATATTTGCTAGATTAGATTACATAATTTGATAAATTATTTTCACGAGATTGAAGTCAATATATGGAGTATATATACATATATATTGAGAATTTATGGGGCTAAGTGGGAAAGTTATAGTGAGGGACTTAGTTCTTACACTCGAAAACAAATGCCACAAGTTGGACAGGATGGAAAAAGTGGATCATGCATGATTATTGTTATTATACTCATTAAGAAACGTTAAACTAGTAGGGGTGATATACACCACCTGAAGAGAGGCAATCAGGTTTCATTCATGAAAGAGGAAGGTTCACCTCTAATTCCTTCGCTCCAGAGCCCTTCACCTCGAAGAGTGATCATGCAATAAGTTTTGGGTTGCTGTGGAATTCCAGTTTAAATGATTTCAAGAATGATTAGCGCTAAGAAGTTGATGATAGGTAAAAGAGGATTTAGAATCAATGAACGAAGAAATTCAGTATATCACAAAAGTCAATCAAGGTGTGAGAATACTATGACACTTTTAATTATATGTTGGAAAACCGCACTTTATTCATCTACACGGAATATTTTTATCTTTGGACTTTAATTATTCAAATAAGGTTGAAGACGACGACTGTACTCGTGTTATTAACTTAGGATGATTAGTAGGTTGAGGCGCAATTCTTGGAGTATTTTAAAACAATTTAAATATTGAGAACCACCTTCTTCTTGATTCGCCGGTACTCTTCTGGCCCGGGTCTTTTCCAGATGGTGACCCGGCCTTGGCTCCCTGTCTTGGGAGTGTCTGAGACCTTTGTCTGCCATGAGAGGAAGTACAAGCACCTCCTCATCTTCTGGGACCAACAGTACCCAGGCTTAGCCCCATTTCCCCGCCCTCACGGGGCTCGTAGGGAGAAGCTAGACTTCTGGTCAGCCATCTTCCCCGCCCCAGAGGGCTCGTGGGAATGGCAGTCTCACAAACCATACCACGGGCGGGGATAGAACCCGCGATCAGAGAGTAGTAAAACTCCAGACAGATGCGCTAGCCGCTGGGCCAGCTGGCTACAACAAGATTCGTCCAACTAGGAATATTTATACACCATGGAGGAGGAGCTTGGACATGGGTGAAATTCCACAGTCACTTAAAACAACGGATATAGCCCCACTCCATAAAGGTGGCAGCAAAGCATTAGCTAAGAACTATAGACCAATAGCTCTGACGTTCCACGTCATAAAAATCTATGAAAGAGTGCTAAGAAGCAGGATTGCAAATCACCTGGATTCCCAAAATCTGCACAATCCAGGGCAACATGGGTTCAGGGCAGTTCGCTCCTACCTCTCACAACTACTGGATCACTATGATATGGCCTTGGATGCACTGGAAGAAAATCAGAATGCAGATGTAATATACACAGACTTTGCAAAAGCATTTGACAAATGCGATCATGGCGTAGTAGCCCATAAAATACGAGCAAAAGGAATAACTGGGAAAGTGGGGAGATGGATCTTCAACTTCCTAACAAATCGAACACAAAGAGTAGTGGTCAACAGAGTTAAATCGGAGGCTGCCATAGTGAAGAGCTCTGTTCCACAAGGCACAATACTCGCCCCCATCTTATTCCTTATCCTCATATCAGACATAGACAGAGATATACATCACACACCGTATCATCCTTTGCGGATGATACTAGGATCTGCATGAGACTGTCATCTGCTGAGGACGCGGTTAACCTCCAAGAAGATATAAACAAAGTTTTCCAGTGGGCAACGGTAAACAATATGATGTTCAATGAGGACAAATTCCAACTACTCCGTTATGGAAAACTGGAGGAGATAATAACTAGAACAGAGTGTACTACAGACTCTGGCCATACAGTAGAGCGGAAAAATAATGTAAGGGACCTGGGAGTAGTAATGTCTGAGGATCTCACTTTCAAGGATCAAAACAGTGCCACGATCGCACGTGCAAAGAAAATGATAGGATGGATAATGAGAACGTTCAAAACGAGAGATGCCAAGCCAATGATGATCCTTTTCAAATCACTTGTTCTCTCTAGGCTGGAATACTGCTGTATATTAACATCTCCATTCAAAGCAGGTGAATCGCAGATCTAGAGAGTGTACAGAGATCCTTTACTGCACGTATAAGTTCTGTCAAGCACCTTAACTACTGGGAACGCTTGGAAGCACTTGACTTGTACTCGTTAGAATGCAGGAGGGAGAGATATATCATAATCTACACTTGGAAAATCTTGGAAGGAATGGTCTCGAATCTGCACACAGAAATCACTCCCTACGAAAATAAAAGACTGGGCAGGCGATGCAAAATGCCCCCAATAAAAAGTAGGGGCGCCATTGGTACACTAAGGGAAAACACCATAAGTGTCCGGGGCCCAAGACTTCAACAGCCTCCCATCAAGCATTAGGGGAATTGCCAATAAACCCCTGGCTGCCTTCAAGAGAGAGCTGGACAGATACCTAAAGTCAGTGCCGGATCAGCCGGGCTGTGGCTCGTACGTTGGATTGCGTGCGGCCAGCAGTAACAGCCTAGTTGATCAGACCCTGATCCATCGGGAGGCCTGGTCGTGGACTGGGCCGCGGGGGCGTTGATCCCCGGAATAACCTCCAGGTAACCTCCAGGTAGGAAGGTTAGCATAGGCACCACTGTGACCACAAATGCAAGCTGCGCTAGCCAGATGGCCCAGTGGCTAGCATGTCGGTCTGGAGTTTTATGACTGATTGCGGGTTCTATCCCCGCCCGTGGTATGGTTTGTTTGCAATCGTGTCATTACGATTTCGTGAGTAATGGCAGTCTTGTAAACTGAGGTGGTAGCAAGCTCTGGCTCTGGCACTTTCCCCGCCCTGGGAGGGCTCGTGGAAATGGTGTCTGTGTTACCCCTCTTAAGAACCTTTAATGATTCAAATACGTATATGTAACTGCGATGACTTACTGTACCAAAGTGTATACCACAATTATTGTACAGTGATTTTTTGCGCCAGGTAAAATATCTGCTGACACTAAGCAACCGCTAGTTAAGTCACCATAATGTTATTTTATATATCTGTATTTAATATATGTAACTTGAATTATGGTACAAATAAAAGTATATATTACTTGTAAGTTGTATATACACTTTATTAACTGAGTATGATGCTGAACTTCTTAGACTTTTTCATTATTTAAATAAGTCAGCCCTCAAGTCATTGATTATTAAAGAAAACTTTCTACGTAACAGAAAACTAGACTTTTAAAGGTATAACTTAGGTATATATATTTACTCACCTCTTGTGTCTCAGGAGTAACAGAATGAGCCATGCTTTGGGTGCAGGAGTAGGTAGAAGTAGCTAGTGATTCCGAATTCGGAGGTGAGATCATAGGGAATTCCACAGAGGACTCAATCTTACCACTTTCAGACAAGACACGAGCACCAACAATACCAAATCCGTCTGTTTCATGCACAGTCTGGAAAGCGATATTGAGAAAGGGATTATAGGAGGTTGGGAACAGACATTAGACATTCCGTTAAGTGGGTTACTCGTTTGCGTCTTGTCGGTATGGATAAGGTAAAGAAAACCTTAGCGTGGAAGGCAAAGATATAAAATATCACGGAAAACCACTATTAGCTGAAGCATCTTATGTAATCCAGTGTAATACTGTAGTATCACCCGACTATCCAGCCGAAGAGGCGACATTATGATGAAAATATAATGGGTTCAAATCTTTGTCAATAGTGGTTTTCTATCATATACATTTACGGTGTTGTAAAATTAATAAGATATACATTATCAATGAATTTTAAAGAAAAAGTTGTATATAAATAAATGCGTGGAATATATTACTGTGGTCATGCATGCAAACATGTAAGAGGATCTACGAGCGTGTTAGTACAAGGATGAACAGGTGTGTAACTACAAGGATCTACAAAAGTGTAAGCATCAGTGTGTACACACGAGTAAGTACAAGATGAACAAGTGTGTAAGGACGAGGAAATACAAACAGTGAGAGGCTGCTGGGTGTACATCGTACATCGTACAACGTCACAGGAGATGTTGCCAACTTCTAACTCTCTAGATCAAGTCTTGGGGTAACAACACCAGTGAACTGAAGCCGAGGATTCTACGCCAGGCAGTATATACGAAAAAATTATGAATATAAGAATTATGTGAAGATTGAATAATATAAAAAAAATGGAGCACTGCTGTAGGCTCAATGGCTCATGCTAGACAGATTCAATTCGTACCCAACCAAGCAAGATGCCTTGATGTGGGCGAGGGGCGCTCGATCCAAGGAATTGGACTTAACCACCATTTCCTTGGGCCGAACCAGGTTACCTCCCACTTTTCTAGGCGCTGTATGATCCCAACGGGTTTAGCGCTTCTCCCATGTGAATATAATAATAATCACAATAGACCTACGTGAAATCTATTGTTTCAGGCATAATTTTAAATTACATTTGTCACGGTATTTTACCCAAGTTGAAAATATTTCTACATTCATTTTTGTACTTAAGAAACCAAAGATTTGCTAAACCTTGATTAAACTTGCTAATAAAGTACTGGTGATCATTTAAAGGATTTCTAAAAGCAGATATATGGCCACTAAGGAGGGTAAATCCTTAGGCTATTTCACACCAACTAATCAAGAATAAGCTAAATAATAAGCACCACAAATTCTTGCACCACTAAAGTACGTGACAGTTTATGACAATAATATACCGAATACAGTTTGTAATATTCAATTTTAGTAAACTAAAAATGGCATAGCATTAGCTGTATTTCACGTCTTTAAGATGCAATCATCAAAATAGAATTGGACATCAGTTATGACTTAAAGTAAGAACTGTTGAGTGGTGAAAGCTTGGAGGGGTTGCATGAGCTCTGGGTTAATGTACGTACCTTGGTGACTGTCTGGGTGGTGGAGCCCTCCTGCCTCACCACCTCTCCCGTCACCATCGTTGACGCCGCGCTGTCTCCCATCTCCCTGTGTTAAGGGTGAAGAGACACCATGTTAATAGTGGCGACTCAAAGAAAATACATGAACCATCACTCGTAGACTACTGCTGTGTTTTCACAGGGCCACGGACTTAACGGTCTAATGATCCCCTAGACTCAACATTCCCACCCGGCATTCAAGGTGTAGGCACCATACTTGCCGCACAGTCGTCAGACAAATTTTAGAGTTCTGCTAAGGAAAATAAAAGAGTAAATGTGCTTCAATGCATTCTTTAAATTAGTTAAAAATAACGTAAACTCAGTGTATACTCCTATACAAAGAGAAGTGCATCTATTGGAATATACTCACTCAGAAATCAATTCGTAAAACATAGCCTGTCCACACGTTCACGGATTACTTTAATGGGGTTGTAGATTAGTTGGTATATTTATTAGTTATATTGCTGGCCCTTTCAGTGTGGCCTTGACGACCAGGTCTGGTGCGATATTGACAACCCAGTTTGTTATGATCCTAGCAACTAGATTGGTGTGATCTTAACGACTTGGTCTGGTGTTACATTGCCGACTTGGTATGGTTCTGTCTTGGCTACCTGGTCTAGTGTGAAATTGGCGACCTCGTGTGGGGTGGCTCTGATGCTTCCGGTTACATTCACAATAACATGAATTTTCATCGAGTATTTATTGCGAGTGTAAGGCGTATAAGCTGTAGATAGAATTTAACGAGAAAACAAACCACAATTCATAGCCTGAACCATTTCCGACATAAACTTGGCAGTGATTCAGTTCTCTCTTCCGTTTCACATTTAGTTGCAATATTCTGAGCAGCAATTAAGTTTCACAATTATTATTATTATCTAATACTGATGGTGTTTTCTAGATCATGAAACAATCAATAGCCTCCTGAAGCGAGTTTTTGTCATAAACAAAAAGTTCAGTGGTTAAGCAACTACTGGCGTATGGGTTTTTAATCCCTAATTTACGAAAAAGGATCACTGCCAAGTAGCGTCCTAAGATAATGTGTTACAAATTAATTTGTATAGATAAAATTAATAGTAATGTTGATGATCATAGCCGGTGCAATCGATGATACTATGTAGATGTAAGTTTTATTCATGATGTATGGCTATCACAACATAACAGAGGTACAGACATGTATGCACAGGGCTTCTGACCAGCAAAATGTGATCAGTCATGAGGGTGTCGTCACAAAATTCAACTTCAATAACAAAAACATACAATGGGAACAAGTCAACTATGTCTAAATGAAACAAGCTGGGGAGATATCCTAAACAACACGGATCCGAACCTTTGACTCAAGAAATCGTAATGACACGATTGCAAACAAACCATACCCCCGGCCGGGATTGAACCCGCGGTCATAGAGTCTCAAAACTCGGGCTGGAGTTTTGAGACTCTATGACCGCGGGTTCAATCCCGGCCGGGGGTATGATCCGAACCTTTGCCTAGAAAAATAAACTCTGTGGTTCTTGAGATCTGCTCAAGGCACATTCCATTAAAAGAAAGAGAAGATGTAAACTAGAAAGAGAGAGATGCTCCCTATACAAAGGCAACGAATCACAGAACTGCTGAGAGGAGCCAATACATCTGAAATACGAAGGGAGGCACTGATCATTGAAATAGCAAATATCGAACTTAAGCTGAAAGAATCTTACAGGAGACAAGAATCGCAGGAAGAACAAAAAGCCATAAAGGAAACTGAAAAAAAAAATACTTATTCTCTTGTACCAAATCTAAGGGAAAAGGAAGATCCAGTATTGGGCCCCTGCTTAGGCGAGATGGGACATACACAGATGACAGCCAAGAAATGAGTGAGATACCAAAGTCCCAATATGACAGTGTTCAGCGAGGCTCTACCCAAACTAAAAGTCGACAATCAAAATGAATTCTTTATGAACGAGACCCAAAATTTGGTCATCTCAAAAATCTCTGTTATTATCCTAACATCACAAGACTTTGAAAAGGCAATAAATGATATGCCAATGCACTCTGCCCCAGGCCCAGACTCATGGAACTCCATGCTCATCATGAACTGCAAGAAGCCCCTGTCACGTGCCTTCAGCATTCTATGGAGAGGGAGCATGGACACAGGGGTCATCCCACACTCACTAAAAACAACAGACATGCCCCACTCTACAAAGGTGGCAGTACAGCAATCGCTAAAAACTACAGACCGATAGCACTAACAACCCATATTATAAAAATCCTTGAAAGGTTCTAAGAAGCAAGATCACGAACCACCTAGATACCCATCAGTTACACAACCCAGGGCAACATGGGTTAAAAGCAGGTCGCTCCTGCCTGTCCCAGCTACTGGACCACTTTGACAAGGTCCTGGATGCTGTAGATGATAAACAAAATGCAGATGTAGTATACACGGACTTTGCAAAAGACTTCGACAAGTGTGACCACGGTGTAATAGGGCACAAAATGCATGATAAAGGAATAACAGGAAAAGTTGGTAGATGGATCTAAAAATTCCTGACAAATAGAACACGAAGAGTAATAGTAAACAGAGTTAAGTCCGAGGCACCTATGGTGAAAAGCTCTGTTCCACAAGGCATATTACTCGCTCCCACCTCTTCAAGGGGGACTCCTTGGCGTGGTGAAGAGGCTTTTGGTCTGAGGAATTAGACCTGTCGGTCTCCTTCCTCAGACCGAACCTAATTATCCCCCAGTCCCCCTTTCCCTATTCCATCCTCCCCTTTTTCCTTTCCTCCTCCTCTTCCCCACCCCTCCCCTTTGCCCTTCCTCTTTTTGGCCTTTGGGATTTTTCCCACAGGCGCGCTAGTTCCTAGGTAGGGAAAGGGTACCTGGGTCCACCCCATTTCGTTGAGGTTCTTGGCGGTGGCGTAGTTTGCCGTGGAATCTGGATTGCCTGGGGACGTCCCGATCCCTCTCTGGTATCCTGGAGGGCGGCTTTGGGTGTCTTTCGGGCGACGGGTGTATCTCTGGAAGCCACCTTTTGGATTCCGGGGGTGGTGGCCGAAGGAGGTATGCTTTGTGGCGGATATACGGCCGCCCTCTCTTTTGTCCACCAAGGTAGCTTGGATTGCTGGTTTACTGGCATGAAGGGTAGGGTATGGCACGGGTTCCATGCTGCATCTGTGCTACTTGTGGTGCTGAGGTCCTCTTGGGCGTGGAGGGAGATTTCTGGCCCTTTCATTCCTCCTAGGAACTATCCCTCCCCAGTCCCCCCTTTTTTTATTCTTTTTTTATTTTTATTTTCTTTTCTTCTTTCTTTTTTTTCTTAAAAACAAAAAGAAAGAAGTAACCTAACCATGGAATTCCCAATCCATGACCCCACTACCCCCAGGCCCCTTCTTGTTACCACACCCCGTTCTGACCTCGCCTCACCTTTTGACCACTCTTCGGACTCTCCTAAGGCCCCTGTACCTCTTGCTGGTGCTGTTTCATGACCCGCTTCAGGTGCTGGGGTTTTGACTGACTCCTTTGATTTGTCTGACCTTCACTCTCCTTTGACTATGCTTCCGGCCTCTCCCTCTATGGTGCGGCAATTTTCGAATCGCCAGCCCGTCCCACATCAGACCAACTCCAGTCCCACTCCTAAATGCCAACGACAATTGCCTGATACTTCTTTGCCACCTTCTCGTTCTACTCAGAAAAGACTGACACGTTGTACTCTCCCTTTACACGCTCAGTTTCAGAATGCACAATGGACTAAATTCTTTACTTTACGACCGACTTCCTCTATTACCTATCTTTCCGACCATAGTATTGGCAAGGCGCTCTCCGCCATGTTGGTACAGATATTTCCTTTCATGCTCTTAAGAGTGGTACACCCATCATCACAGTCCAGAATGCTACCCAAGCTCATGATCTTTCTCTTCTTTCACATATCGATACTATTCCTATCACTATCAAAAAACATCATTCCCTCAATTCTTGTAGTGGTACTGTCATTCTGTCCCATACCATAGTCCAACAGAATTTCCAGACATGTGGCAATGACATTCTCGAACAGCTGGAACTCCAAGATCTCCCAATTCTCAAGGTAGACACTTATGTTCTTCCTGCCCACGGGCAGAGACGATACCCTTGCAATGTGGCTCATTTAACTTTTGACAGCCATGAACTCCCATCCTCTGTTTATGTAGCAGGACATCAGTTACAAGTTCGAAAGGTGATCCCTACAGCCTCCTCTGCAGCTTCCTCTGCGGTTGCCCCTCCGATAGTCAATCCTGTATCTAACTCTATTGCTGTCCTGGGCTCAGACGTCCCTACTTCAACACCTCAGTCTGTTCTCACTTCTTCGTGTTCTCCCTCACAAACCCTGGTATCGACAAGACCTCGTTCGACACCTCCTCCCAATCGTCCCTCTACTTCTCAGAAGTCCAAAAAATCTCCTTTAACCCCTCCTTCCCTTCCTCCACCTCCTAATTTTACCTTCCCGGTCTCTGTACCTGGGTCTTCCCCTCTCACTGGCTCTGTTACAAGTGTGGAGGTACCCCCCTCCTCGTACTGTGCCTTCCTCCCCTGTCCCCTCCCAAGTTTCTTCCTCTTCTGCCACTGTCCCAGGTTTCTGCCTCTTCTGTCCCCTTCCACACTTCTCCAGTTCCCTTCACCCTTTTGTCCCATCCCCTACCTTGGTACAGTCTATTACAGTTCCAATCTTTACTCAAACTCCTCCTCCTTCCATCTCCAATATTGTCTCCCATACGATGTCTCTGAACTCCGAAACACTTGAAGTAATCTCTGAATATATTGCAGAAACCAAACCATTAATGGACACTGATCCACCCTCTGTTCCTTCTCTTTCCTCTTCTCCATCTGCACAACTCCTTTCTTCACAGCACACCGTTCCTTTGCTGCTTGAACGTTTTCCGCTGCCACCGCATGTGGATTTTTTTAACCCCTCTAGTCCATAGTTACCCTTACCTGCGGATTTCTAGTATCTTTATCATGGCCAATCATGGTCTATTTACAGTGGAATATAAGTGGCCTCAGGGGTAATCGGGGTGAGCTTCAGATGTTGCTCTCCCAGTTTTC